TTCCAAGCTAAATGTGACTAATTTGTAAGTCTAACATTAGAAAAAGTTATCTTTTTATTTAAAGAACTTAATTCAAATGTGTGAGTCTTTGCAATCATATTCTTCCTAAGAATGCATGAATATTAACTTTGGGAGAAGACATATTTGAGGAATTCAATTGTGAAGACTTTCTAGAGAAACCCTATAAAACAGCATTTTCTCTATGCAAAAGTTAATCAGATTTTATGGAAAATTAGTACTTATAAAGCTTGAATTACTTGTTAGCACTGAGGACACAGACACTTGATTCCGTCTTTTATGGAACTTACTCATTTACTGTGTGGAAGTCACAGAGACTTGCACGCAGACATTCAGTATAATTAATTCATGCTCTTTACTTGTTTAATTGCAAAAGCCTGGGCAACTCTTTCCAGGATAGTTGTGTGTTCGGAGTGAATAGCTTCATCCTGCACCTGGTTGTGTGAACTCTCTTGACAGGTTCTCAGGTTTCTAGACACACAGTGCGAGGGAACAGTGGGACACTTGTTGGAAATTACATAAGTGGTCAGTTGCCAGTGTTCTTATTCTACCTCACATCACTTCACTCATCGTTGGGTAGTATTTACAATGGTACCGTACATTTCTGGAGAAAAGTAGTTATGAAAAATACAAATTAAAGTTAGCAATCATCACCTTGAAAGAAACACTGAATCCACAGAGCAAAACATGTAAAGGAAGCACATTAGAGAAAGTCATAACTGCAGTAACAGGCAATCAGTCCTCTCACTTAGCACCCTGGGAGCCCCTCATGTATGCTCCTCTTCCTGCATTTTACTTTCCTCCAATGCTAAATGATGATGGAGATAAAAATTTTATAAGGAAGTTGTGATAATTAAGTTAATATTCAGAAGCATACAGCAGAGGATCGGGTGCCTAGAAATTAATCAATATATGTTAGTTATGCTATTATTATCATTGTTGCTGTTATTCAAGTTTTTGTTACGTGGTGGGAGAGAAAAGGCAACACGGGATTGATCTCACTTTTCTACCCAGCCAGCTTTTGACTTTGGAAAAATTACTCAATCGTTAAGTCAATTGAGCCTCAATGTTTTCATCTATAAAATAAGGCAATAATTCCCCATCACTTTCCTAGTAGCACAGGCTACACTGCGCCTGCCAATTCCAAGGTCCCCAGTAATTAGGACCTACTCACCATCAGTAAATCACTTCCAGGTATCTCATTCTTCTTTCAGCATTGATCACTGTGTACATTCCATAAAATCAGATTTGATGAATTAATAATGAAAGTCAGTTGTCAGAAGAACAGATTCCAACTGAACTTTTTCTATCATATTTGCGATTGTGCTAATTCTCTCTAAAGAGGCCCTCTTCACTGCACATATTTTACTGCAGTGAAGACAGGTTTTATGGTTTATTTCCAAACACTAAAAATATATATTCAGCTTTAAATTGAGGAATGTTCATGTGGAAGATGAGATATCTAGAAATTCATATACATAGTTCTCCAGTTTTGAAATAGTTATGTGTAGATGAAAGCTTACGTGTATGCACACTCACTCACACACCCTACCAGCGATCACCTCTGTAACATTAGCTTAAATTGAATCTGGAAGGAGCTCCAGTACATGAGCTACATATCAAAATAGACTGCCAAAGCTGTGTCACCAGAGTAGTATAAACCCAAGTCACACAGAAGTGGCAGAGAAACAAAATTAAAGAGGAGACATAGACAAATAGAAAAGAAGTCATCCTTTGTGCAAAGGTTAGTATGAGATTATTATAAAATCAGGACTTGCTGGGAATGGTGGCACACACCTCTAATCCCAGCACCTAGAAGGCTGAGGTAGGTGGATCACTGAAAGTTTGAGGCCCTCCTGTGCTATATATGAGTTCAAGGCCAGCTTGAACTACCTAGTAAGTCTCTATCATTTAAAAAAAGGAAAAGATCAGATCCTTTTCGCTTAAGCAGAAAATTTTGCAAGGGGATAAATAGACTACATGAACAGACACTGACATTATCAAAATAATGGTAATTAAACTTCATGTATAAGTCAATGGTTGTGTATAGGCAACACCATGATAGCAATAGGAAGAAGTATCAGGAATAACCTTTTGAGAGAAAAAGAATAACATAAGTGCCACCACCTGCCTCATGAGCACAAGGTCCCAAGTCCAATCTCTGGAAAAAAAAAAAAAAAAAAAGGACAACATAAGGGTGGCCTAAAAGAATGTGTTCTGTTTCATCTCAATGTCTTATAAAGTTACTTGTGTTTCTCTGTCACTCTGCTGTTGCTTTACACATTTTATAAAAGGTATTTTTATTCTTGTAAACCAGATGTGTTCATTTCTATGGAGACATGGGGCTAGATATTGTATGTACAAAAGTGAACAGACACAATCACTGATGGCAAAAGCTTCATTATTCCGTCTGCTTTTCCAGGTCATAAAATGCAAAGCAGCTGTGCTATGGGAGATAAATAAACCCTTCTCCATCGAGGAGGTGGAGGTTGCACCCCCTAAGGCCCATGAAGTTCGTATTAAGGTGAAAACTTTTCTACTTCTCTTTCACTGTAGGTCTAAAAATCAGAACATTTCAAAATCAGTGAACATTAGATATTTTCTTGGTGTTAATCTGTAATGTTTGCCTCCACAAAAAAGTATGAACTCTTCAATATTACACAAAACAAAAAATTCAGGATCACTCATTTCACAGGATTATTCTAAATTGCTTAATTCAGAAAAGAAAGGTTGAGTAGAGTTTTGGATATTCTTGAAGATAAATAATTGTTTTAGATCTCTTCAGCTGCCTGCCTGCCTGAGATCACCTGGCGGGTGCGCGACCTCCCGGACTGCGCAACAACAGACCCAGTGAGGAAGGTAGCAGCGTGGGCGCAATTGCAACACCCCCACGACCTTCTCCCCCACCCCATTTTCAAAACTCCTGATTGGGCCAGTCCTTAGACCAACTCTGCAGAGGCATAGGTTCTCATGAACGGTAGATTTCTGAACTCCCAACTTTGAACATCTTTAAAGAAAGGGCAGGGGAAACCTGGAATAGAACTGAGTGGAGTTCAACCCTGAGGGTAAGGAAACTCAAGTTAGGCGCC